GAGCTAACTTCCTGCTAACTTCTAACTCTGTTAAATTTAATAAATTCTGTTTTCACGGATGCCTGGATGTTAAACTTAATTGTTACACCTGGTAAAGCAGCAACGCTGATCATTTTATTAAAGATGAAAGAATTTAGACAGTTTTAACTCTGTGACGCTGCAGTGTTCGTTTGACTTTGGGACCTGAAGCAGACGGAGTTTTTGGACCCAGATTACTCCGCGAAGCTCCTGACTACCTGATCCAACAATCCATCAAGCGGTGCGGCTTCATAGCTTAGCAAAGTGGTACTAAAACATTTTTTGACAGATTTTTGAGCGCCGTGTACCACATAAAATCGATTGGAGGTCAGTAAGCACAACCAGAATTCATATATAAGGCGCACCGGATTATCAGGCGCACTGTGGATTTTTAAGAAAATTAAAGGATTTTAAGTGTGCCTTATTGTGCGGAAAATACGGTATATATAGTTTACATCCGTCTCCTCATAAGTTAACACATGAATGTATAGACTTTGTGAACTATAAGTTTGGCTGTGCTGCAGATAATGAATCAGATAAGCTTTTACATAAATGTGATTGAAATCTGAATGTCTAATGCACCCAAACACAACACACAGATACTTTAATATTTTATTTATATATAAATCTGTTTTTATAACATGCAGGTTTTATTTTATAGCCAGCAAAGACAAAGTAGTTGGTGTTACACAGATTTATCTAGTTCCAGCAATTAACATTCAGAAACAGAGCAATTGCACCCATCTGTACACATCTGTCAGGTTAAAGCAGAAGAGAAGGAGAATATGAAAAAGAGGAAGTGCTCGTGAATGCAGCCAATTTAAGACAAGAATTTTCTATTACAGATTTCAATGTCTCAAAACCACCTCAGAGCTTTTGTTTTCATGCATTCAGAAGCAATGTTTATTCATTTTATGAACTGAAGTTTTTAAATGACTGATTTAAAGTTTAAGAAAACACAGGCATTCTGTTGGGTCTGACATTTTCAGTCTCAATGTGACATTTAACTGGAAATGTGAAGTAAACACCGGTCCGAGTCGTCTTCAGCCCTCATGCTGCTGAAATAATCATTTAACACATAAATATTAATGAGAAATTCTGATTAGTCTTTTAATCAGAAGAGAGCTATCTATCCTCTGCTGTCAGTTCCACCAGTGACTCTGATTTTGGTCTCTTCTGGTTTCTGTCAGAGTTTATTTAGTAAGGTTAATCTTGTTCCAGCTGTCAGACTTATGATGAGAAACAGCCTCTGCTCCCCGTTAGAAAAACAGGAAATTCAACATCGTTTTGCACCAAATAAAGATGGTCGGTCAAAGCAAGATAAAAACCATCACAGTTTCATATAACTTTAAAAACTAATTTGGTGTACTGAGGGAATTAAAAACTGATTAATCTGCACTGAAAATGTGTGCTGCAGCTGATCCAAAGCTTTCTTAGATAAAGTAGTTGTATTCAGCTGAGCAAAGGACACAAACTACATCGAAACTTGTTAAGTTCAAGAAGCATCAGGGGGAAATGCACCGCTCATGCTTATCTAATCTAACATTAGATGTGTATCTCTTTTTGTTACAAAGCTGCTGCAGTGGGTAAAAAACACCACAGTGACCTACAGTAACTTAAAGACGAACCATAGCGTGAGTTGAAGACTTCCTGTTGGTGCGTTCAGGGGTAGTCAGTCACTGTAACTCAGCACTTCCTGCAATTGCTTCACAATCCTGTCTTTAAGTGATGACGTGATGAGTCCTGCTTCCGGGCCCAAACCACTCTGTGTTTAATAAGGCTGTTGTGTTTTTAACAGGTTTTAATGCTTTGCATTTTGTTCTATTTAATCTACAAGCCCCTAAAAACATTCAGTGATCACTGTCGGCCTCTCTTGGTTTCTATTATCCTTATTATTTTAAAGCTCAGTTTTTAACACACCTCAGTTTTGTGTAAGATGTATCTACAGCCCAGCCCATGCAGCAGTGTGTTAATGACTAACCTCGTATTGTGGATGGATTATCTCAGTTGTTCTTCTGACTGAAGTTTGGTCCGTTTATAGCATCCTGCCATCAGGAACCCTCACGTTAACTTTAATCGAGTGAAAAAGTTAGTTTTTGTCCTCCAGCTTCACTGTTTATATTATGCTAAGATAGCTGTGTTGCTAGTGATCACGTAGCACGCCATTTTATCCCAGCTAGTCCAACTTCAGTAACCCTATAAACATCACTGCTGTTTAGTTTTCTGTCTTCATTTGTGTCGGAAGTGATAGCAGAGCTGTACGTCTTAATTTGTTTCAGAAATCCCTCAGTCACAACATGCTGTATTGTATTTAGATGGAAACTAGCGAGCTTACTCCCTGCAAACTTCTAACTCTGTTAAATTTTATAAAAAAAATTTCATGGATGCCTGGATGTTAAACTTAATTGTTACACCTGGTAGAGCAGCCACACTGATCATTTTATTACAGGTGGACATATTTAGACACTTTTTCGACTCTCAGTGATGCCGCAGTGTTCGTTTGACTTTGGGACCTGCAGCGTAGTTTGGGACCAGGCACGGCTAATGACGTCCGACTTAAAGACCGGATAAGAGCACCAGGCTGCTTGAGCTGATAAACTCACTATGAGGTCCACACACAAAGGCAGGGAGTTTTACCATCCATCACCAAAAAAAAAGGTCTGTACCCCGTTTAGCTCCACTGTTAACGTGGGCTTTATTTCTGGAAAGGTCCGAAATCTGATATTGATCCAATCAATCACATGCATGGTTTATAGTGTAATATCCCAACATTCACTACATACAGTTGCAGGAAAAAGTTTGTAAATCCTTTGGAATTTGCTTTATTCTGCATAAATACAGAATAAGTCTTAAAAGTAATAAAAATGTTATAATGTATAATGTTGGGTGCCCACTTTTTCCTTTTCAGTGATTGATGGAAGTAGCCACCATGACATGTGTCACTGATGTTGGACTTTATATTAACATTTAGGCGATCGCATGCTTGCTTTTGTAATCTACAAACACCAGTCAGATTTAGCAAACAGACAAAGGATTATGGAGAGGGAGTCACAGCGTCTCACCAGCTTTAGCTTTAGCAAATAGAAGACCAAATCACCAATAGCCAAATAAAGGCATTAGAGAGCATTTGTAGCTGTCTGCGAGATAAGTGCTGCACAGGGACGTCTACAAAGTGCTACACAATCAGAACTAGGAGTAAAGGGTCAGGCAAGGTACTATATAAGTAAGATTTCACAAACCGTACATAAAAGATGGACGTAGTCACCTTGTTACCCATTGGTTTCAGGTTCTTCATTTAAAGGCATTAAATGAAGCGTTAGCATTTTGGCAGTTATAGTGTGGCAGCTATAGTGTGTGTATAGCAAGTAGTGACAATATTTGGATTAGCGGGTGCTGCTGGTAAAGATATCCACTGAAGCCAAAGCTTTTTAACATTAGAGTCTATGAAGATTGTCTCACTTTTAGAATCAGCCTCAATTGGCCATTAGAGGAAGTGGAGGTTTTGGCACTTCATTTTTAGCCTCGGTGATTGCTGCTTGGTTTCCTCGCTACAGGCCTTCTCACAACATTTATGTTGGACATTGTTAAACCATTATCTTTAGTCTTCATTGAACATTATTAGGTGGAATGACTTGTGAGTTTTAGGGTGTCGTGTTGTATCTTGACCCATTTTCTTTTAAGGAACAGTCTGTGGACAGATGCCCTGACATACATAATTTGCTGGAATTAATCAGAATTCATTCCTAAATCAATCACCACAACCTGTCCTCCATGGATGTGGCAAACACATAACACTTCTTATTTAACTACTTTTTGCTCAGCCAAAATTGCAACAGCTTATTAATGGTCCAGGGTCAGGTCTTGTTAACCATTTATGCAAAGAACGTAATACAGTGAGAATCACTGACACTTGACTACTTCAAGAAGGTCCTGCTTTAGATTTTATGAAGTCTGTCAGAGCTTTGTATTGGCGGTTAGAAAAATGGCACGTAATTTGCCTTCATGCAGCTTTTACATGGTTCAAACTCAAATATCAGGTCTGAAGGATCTTTGGAGTTAAATGTTCTGCAAACATTTGATGGGAGTGAAGTAGGGCTGCCACGATTAGTTGACTAGTCACGATTACGTCGACTATTAAAATTGTCAACGACTAATTTAATAGTCGATGCGTCGTTTGAAGCTTTGTAAGATTTCGAAAGACGCAGGAATAAATAGTAGGATTTAAGAGTGTAATAACGGACTGAAACAGAAGAACAGCACTGCATGTCCAGGGATGCCAGCTGCCGTTAAACGCCAAAGAAGAAGAAGTAGTGTCCAGGTTTCATAGCTGTGTCCAAATTTAGCGGCCGCATCCTTCGGAGGCTGCATTTGTAGGTCAATTACGTTACAGGGACGTGGCACGCCTGTCCAAATTCGAAAACTCCCCCAAACGCGGCCAAAAAATGCATTCTTCATTTCCCCAGATTTGAAGGATGGGTCGGGTGTATCCATCGTGGCCCAACCTATCCCAAAATTCATAGCGCGGCCCAGTCAATTCCAGTTTCCAACAATGGCGGCAGCTACTTAGTTTATCAAGACATCACATATTTGCAAAAGTGCTCCAATGTTTTCGGAGACGTCTGTTACCCACCAGCTCGATAGCTAACCAGGGTTCAAGGCTCACTAGAGCTGGTGAGAACAGCGAACTGACAGATGCATTCTGGTGCAATAAGCTGTACGTTTTACGTCCAATGGATGCATTATCTGATTAGTCGACTAATTGCAAAAATAATTGGTGACTAGTCGACTATCAAAATAATCGTTTGTGGCAGCCCTAGAGTGAAGCTAAAGGAAGCCTAACGTGTTCTTACTGATTCAGTCAAACACTGATCTGAAAGTGTTCTATGTGGATGAACTTATATTTATGAAGTTATTTGGATTCTTGCAGTTAACAGGTTGTGGTCATAATGTCAACAGTATGATTTTCTCTCTTTTTTGTGCAGGGAGGAGGGGCAAGAAGGTGATGAAGGACCTATTGAACCCCAGGCCCCAAGGAAGGAAAAAGACAGGTCCAAGACCAAGAAACCCCGCAGGGAACGTCGTCATGCTGAGCGGGGGACGGAGACCATGGCCTCAGCTTCAACCTCAACAGCACAGCAGCCACAGACAGGGTTGGAGCAACAGACCCAGGTAAAGACTGCATTAGAAGTTAGTAGAAACAGTGGAATCATGGAGGGACAAATTTCATCACCTGCTGAACATCATGACACATTTTGCTCAGGATGAAGGACAAGTTTTTGCTCACCTTTTCCTTGCAGATGTCAGAGCCAGTGGCCGGTCCCTCAGAGCCAGGGTCAGAGTCTGCAGGTGGTAGCGAGTCTGCCGGATCTTCCAGGCAGCGGCGCTCCATCATTCGGGACCGAGGGCCGCTGTATGATGACCCATCTCTGCCCGAAGGCTGGACCCGCAAACTGAAACAGAGAAAGTCTGGACGCTCTGCTGGGAAGTTTGATGTCTACCTAATCAAGTAAGCCATGCCCTGAGCCACCCTGACAGTGTGCTCGTTTTCCAGGATGTAGAGGAGTAAAACCCCCAAATGAACATTTGTGATGCTTTTTTTTTTGCTTTTTTTTTTTTTTTTTTTTGCTGTTTAGCTCGGAGGGGAAAGCGTTTCGTTCCAAGGTGGAGCTTATTGCCTACTTCCAAAAGGTTGGTGACACAACAACCGACCCTAATGATTTTGACTTTACTGTTACTGGGCGTGGGAGCCCCTCCCGCCGTGAGAAGCGCCCACCCAAGAAACCAAAGGTGGTGAAACCATCGGGGCGTGGTCGTGGGAGGCCCAAAGGTACTAAATGATGTGATTCTAGAAGTTATACTGGAAAGCTGTTCCTGAGTATTTCTATTTGAGTATTTATTTTTTCTGTAATTGTGTATCTATTTGTGTTTTTGTAGGCAGTGGGAAGATGAGGCAGGCTACAGAAGGAGTGGCAATGAAACGTGTGGTTGAGAAAACTCCGGGCAAACTGCTGGTCAAGATGCCCTTCGGCAAAGCAGAGACCTCCACTGGCACCACGACCACCACCTCAAAGGTATGGTTGCTCTGTCGTTTAGTCGTTCGTACATTTTCGAGAAGCACAGTGTTGAGATTGTCGCAGTAAGCTGAATAACTCAAACATGCATTTCCTAAGCAACTTTCCTCATTTCTTCTGTCCAGGAAAGCTAACAGAAATATGCTTCAAGGAGAAAATATGCATCTCTCCAAAACTGATGTTCACACGTATAAACATAATCATTTAAAGATATTTTGATTAAAATGATCACACCTCTACACCATAATGTCATCCAATGAATCACCACTTTGTTGAGGTTGATTAACTTGTGTTTTTCAGTAACCTTCAAAGCAGCTCCTGAGAGTCAAACTGGTCCCCCTTTGACCTACAGGTGTAATGTAAAGAGCATCCTATATCAGGCAAGACAGGAAAGACTGAAGACCCAACTCCCAACCAGTAACATTGGGTCATACTGTCCTGCCATTCTGGCTCACTACCTTCAAGGATAGTTGAGGCGTCCTGTAATTTTTACCCCTCAGCTGTGAAAGGCTGATGGGTACTGCCTAGGGCTGCCACAAACGATTATTTTGATAGTCGACTAGTCACCGATTATTTTTGCGATTAGTTGACTAATCAGATCATCATCCATTGGACGTAAAACGTACAGCTTATTGCACCAGCAGCATCTGCTCTTATATAACTATCATTAGCTTACAGCTTTAAGTCTTTAAGGTATGTGCTAACTAAAAATAAATACAAGATGATAGTTTATTAAATTTTAATGAAATTTGCAGATTGTTTCAGTGGAGTTTAATAAATTCCGCCGTCTGCTCCTTGCTATCTAAAATATAACGGGACACCAGAGTATATTCTCCAGCATCTCACACTTCTGATAATCAGTTGTCTGCTTGACGTTTATTCAGCTGTGTAAAAACTATAACTTTAATCTCAGCCAAACCAATTTACTCAGGAACAAATAAAATACTGAAAAAAGCCAAACAATAACATTTTTAAGTTATCTAAGTGACTTATATATGTTTAACCTGAGTAGCGAAAGATGGCGGTGGGTTTGAAAACGATTTGCCGGGAGTCCGGTGTTCTGACGGGCTCTAGTGAGCTTTGCCCCCGGCTAGCTATCAAGCTGGTGGGTAACAGACGTCTCCGAAAACGTCGGAGCGCTTTTGAAAATATGTGGTGTCTTGATAAACTGAGCAGATATTTGAGGTTTACACAGCTACATTCTCGCATGAAAATATGTTAAACGTTTATTTTGTGACCCAGAAAGAATAATAAGAGTAATATTAAAACTAACTAGCTGCCGCTATTGTTGGAAACTGAGCTGGGCTGCGCTATGAATTCTGGGACAGAGCTACTTCTTCTTCTGGGTTTAACGGCAGCTGGCATCCTTGTACATGCAGTGCTGCCATCTTCTGTTTCAGTCCGTTATTACACTCTTAAATCCTGCCACTTATTCCTGCGTCTTTTGTGATCTTACAAAGCTTCAAACGACGCGTCGACGATTTTGATAGTCGACGTAATCGTGACTAGTCGACTAATCGTGGCAGCCCTAGTACTGCCGTCATTTTGCCGGGCGGGTGGGCAGCATGGACACCAAAGTTTGTGAGTGTGATAACTCGAGAACAAGGCAACATAGGATTTTGAAATTGATACCATAGCTGCCTGTACATTGGACAAGTTCAAATCTCAGTGATCTTGACTTCAAGGTCAAGGTCAAGTTTTCTTAAAATCTTGTGAGTTCAATAATTCAAGACGGAAATAATCTAGGATTTTCAAATTGAGACCATAGGTGTATCTACTTGGAATCTGAGGGGTAGTGCTGGTGGCAGCTTGTATTTTTTTCTTCTTTTTGTGCGTGACAGCAAATAAAGGCAACCCAAGGTTTTACCTTGATCAACTTTAGCCTGCAAATAACTATTTAGAGATAGTTAAATCATGTTACAGGAAATGAAAGATTGTAAATCCTCATTTGTAGCAAAGTTAGAGACATGGCTAAGGATCCTGTGTGTGTCTCCAGTTCCATCTTTACAAAGACTTTCTGAATATCCCAGTGAAAAGAATGGGAAGGGAATTCATGGAAGACTTTGTTTACCTTCGTAGAGTTGTGTCCTGAAGATGGGCAAAACAGCTAACATACACTGAAATAAGGTCTTAAGCAATTGATCAACACAAGAGATCCACAAATCATCTGGAAGGTAGAAAAGACTTTCATTAGGAGTTTAAAATAAAACACTTATCTTGACTGGCAGTAGTCCTGCCAAGAATGTCTTGAGAGTGGATACTGAGGACTTGGCTGTGCACTAGTGTTTATGATTTTCATGGTTCGAAACTTAAGGCTCTACCTGGAGAAGCACCTCACAAACAGAGGTAAATGATGAGTAAAAGTAGATAGACTGTAGTATGTGGTTGCAGTAAGTATGGTTAGTATTTTCATCCATCTATTATCTGCTTCTTATTTGGACCTGGATCTTGGTGGAAGCAGTCTAAACAGATATGCCTAGATCTCTCTCTCCTCAGCCAGCTCTTCAAGGGGGACACCAAGGTGTTCCAAAGCTAGCTGAGTGACATGATCTCTCCAGCATGTTTATTGCCTACCCTGGAGTCCCTACTATTTGGATATTTCCAAAACAACTCACCTAGGAGACATCCAGGAAGCAGTCTAGTCAGTGCTTTAAAATCTTAAATATGATTTTATAATTCCAGCAACAATGCTAATGCAGGTTTTTCCTGTTGATCTGGCAATTCCCCTGCAGGTGGTGTCTCCTGCCTTGGTGACCAAGTCCCGCCCTGGCAGAAAGAGGAAATCAGAACAAGAACTTCCGCCTCCACCACAGACTGCCCCCAAGAAACGGGGCAGGAAACCAGCGTCAGCCTCCACAGCAGCATCAGTCGCCACAGCATCCACCTCCGCTGCATCAGCCTCTGGTAGCTCAACAGCAGGAAGTTACGCTGCAGCTGCCATCTTGGCTGCTGAGGCCAAACGGAGAGCAGCTAAGGAGTCTTCCACCAAACCTGTTGTCCAGGAAACAGCTCTGCCAATCAAAAAACGTAAAACGAGAGAGACAGTGGAGGAAAGGGAGAGTGTGCAGACTCCAATGGCTACAACAACAGAGACTGGAAAGTCAACAGCGGCCGAGGAGGAGAGCAGTACAATGGCAGGAGGTCCAAGCTCAGAGCCTGAGCCCGCCCCCTCTGAGCAGAGCCAGTCACAATCACAGAAGCAGCCTTCTGCTTCAGATGACAGCCAACCACATGGACACAAGACACATAAAGGGCGGAAGCACAAGGACAAATCAGGAGAGGCAACAGGTGATGGTGTAACCAAAGGGGAAGAAGTAGGTGAAGATGTAAGCGATAAGGGAGGAGAGGGGGGATTGGGTGGAAGGGGTAGCAGTAGCAGCAGTAGCACTAGTCCGTCAAAAAGCCACAAAAGGAAGGAGCGAACACCTCACAAGCACCACCATCACCACCACCACCATCATCAGCATCGCCACCAACAATCCACTGTCTCAACATTGGATGAACCTTCTCCTCCTCCTCCACCCTCTGGACACCCAGCACCTTCTAGCCAGTCCAAGCCTGACATTGAGCCTCAGACTGTGCCTCAGCTCACCTCCCAACAGTCGCAGCACACCCAGCAAGCTCTTCCCAGACCGCAGTCCAAGTCTGCACCACAGTCCCTGCCCGAACCTCGACATCCTACCCTGCAACCACGCTACCAGCCCCAGTTTCCCCATGAGTCCCAAGCCCAGAGTCGTTACCCAGCACCCCAGTCCTCTCCTACCCGACACGGCCTGACACAACCACGGCCCCAACAGCCCCCATCCCAAACCCACAGTCAGCCTCAGGCTGCCAACCAGAAAGTTCCCTCACAACCTGTTCATTCCTCAACCCAACACCGAACCCAGCTTCAGAGTCAGCATACGCAACCTCAGTCACATCCTCCTCAGTGCCCCTCCATCCTGCACATCCATCCGCACCAAACAAGGCATCCACATCCACAAACTACATCCCCCACAGCACCCCAACCTCAAACCCAGTCAAGGCACCCATCTCAACTCCAAACCCAGCTCAAACAACAATCTCAGCCCCAGCCCCGACAGTCACTTCAGCCTCAAATTCAATCCCAGGCCAGGACCCCAACTCAAGCTCAGAGTCAGTCCCAATCCAGGCCTCCAGCCCAACCTCAGTCTCAGTTGCAGCCCAGAACCTCGGGCCAAACGCAGCCTCAAACCCAATCCAGAACCCCAGTCCAGTTGCAACCCCTATCCAGGACTCCAGCCCAATCACAATCAGCACCCCAATCCAGGACCCCATCCCAAATGCCGTCGACACTCCACGCTAGGACCCCAACCCAAACTCATCCTCAACCTCAGTCCAGAAACCAAGGTCAAATGCAGCCTCAATCCCAGTCCAGGACCCTAGCCCAAATGCAGCCTCAATCCCAGCCCAGACCTCAAACCCAAATGCAGCCACAAGCCCAGTCTAGAACTTCAGCCCAACCTCAACCTCACCTGCAACCCAGACACCAAGTGCAACCACAGACAAGGCCCCCATCACAACATCAACTCCAGACTCAATACAGACCACAATCCAGTCAATCTCTCTCCCAGCCTAGGCCGCCCCAGTCCCAACCCCAGTCCCAAGCACAACCACACTTTCAGCGGATCCAACCACAGCTGCGCTCCCAGCCACACTCTCAGCTTACCAGGCCAAACGTGCAGCACCTCTCATCCAGCCGACCATCTTCCAGCCTAACCAGGACCAACCTCGTCCCTGCTCAGCAAAACCAGAGCGAACAGCCACAAGACCTGAGCACCACAAGGCCTGGCAGAGGGAGCCTGATCCCGAGCCGAGACGTCAGCGTGGAAGGGGTTAGGACAGAGGGGAGAGGGGAGCCAGCCATGCCATCTGAAAGCAGAGAGGTTTTAGGAGGAGACAGAGGATCAAACAGCACCTCGAGGCCTCCCAGCTCCATGCCTCCTGGACCTCCTGGAGTATCTGGGGCTGGTCACGTGCCTGGGGCAGATGGTAGGGCTAGGCTCCGGGCAGAGCCAGAGGCAGCAGGTGAGGGTAGGGAGCTCAGAGACATCGTCCCGCAATCTGCTGTTCCCTGTCCCAGCCGAGAAGAAACCGTAGAGTCACGGACTGCTGTCAGCGAAAGAGTCAGCTGATTGGTTGGACTGATGAACCTGCCGTCTACCAATAGCCTGACGGACTGAATCAGCACCAGGCAGAAGAGGAGTATGACTGGGATGTCCTTGTAATGGTTTTTACACCGTTTACAGATAGAAGGAAAGCGTCACACAGAGCTGGAAGGACTGTCGCAGCTTGTTCTCTGTTTGATTCTGTCTGGAGACTCTGTAAAGTTCTGGATTAGAGAACCAACCTGGCGCTGAGGGACACCTCGAGTGGAAAATGGATAGTATCTTTTTTTCTAGGAAAAACAAATGAAAAGGAAAAACCGATAAAAAGTGTGTGTGTATATATAATCAAAAGGCAGCTGTTGTGTCCCGCTAGTCTCCGTGGGGGGGGGGGGGGAGTAGTTTGGAACTAAAAACCAACGCTTAACAACACATTACTCTGAACGAAACGTTGCTTCCGGAATATAACCTGTTTTTTTTATTTAGTATTTTGATAGTTTATTGTTTTGTCTCTGTTATACAGCTTTAAAGTCTGATATTATTGACTGACAGTCCCTTACTCATCGCTGTGCTGCTGACTGACAGTCCCTGACTTTTAACCTGCTCTTAACTCCTCCTGTTGACTGACTGTCCCTTACTGAAACTAGTCCTCGACTGAAAGCCTCAGAGATGATGTGAGGCGGCGGTTTGCACCTTAAACTGGTTTCTCGGAAATCTCATCATTTGTTTTCGTCCCCATTTTCCATTAAGCTAACAATAAACAGAGAGGGGGCACTAATGTTTTCCATCCATTTTCAGAATGCCTCCTACAAGTAGTGAATCTAATCTGTGAGTATTTATACCCAATTCGTGACTGTACTCGGCCATGATTTTGAGTCATTCTGAATACCGTCTAAAATGTCTGAACAGTGTGAGGAGTTCTTGATTCCTCTTAGCAGAGTCAGTTGCTTGGCGGAAAAAAAAAGCCTCCTCATTGGTTTTTCCAAGTATGTCCAACAGAGCAAGTTGTTCTTCCAGGATGAATCTGTTTTCCGTAGTCTTTTGTTTCCAAAGGAAGCACTTTTAATGTCAAACCAAACCCACTTTCACAGTAGCTTTATTTTAGTTTTTAGTCTTAATGAAAGAGTGGGAAATTACTTATTTTTATTGTGTCTTCGTGTTGAATATCTGGAACAGTTTGCACTCCTCCAGTTTGTACAATCAACCGCCTGCATGTCGCTCGGAGACCCTGCAGGCCTTCAACCAGAGCGCACCTACGCAGAGGTCAACCCTGCCAGGTTTTACTGTCGTCTAAAACCTGGACTGAGGTCTGGTTCAGTTTCACATGGGTGTAGTTGTGCCGAAGATGGGCAGAGCTGTTCATTGAGCTGAAATCTTAGCTGTAAGTCTGCAAATTCATTTCTGAGAGTGATTTAGAGGGCGCTTAGGGGGACTTGAACTTAGTGAAGTTAGGTCCAGGATGACCTCTGGTCGTTTGATCTGCAAAACAGAAGCAAAGAGAAAAAATGTGGTACAAATAAGAGCCGCATTTATTTAACTTATATTTCCAGAGGTACTCTATATTTATTCCTTTATTTCTTTTCCTAACACTCTTGTGCTGCCAGTCTTGTTATCAGTAGACGGCTATGTTTCCAAATGCTGGGCGCATGTCACATCAGAGCTACTCTACTTAACGGTTTCTAACTTACAGAAATGTTGGAAAAACTGGGAAACTCAGCTTTACCAAAAGCTCAGATAGATCTGACTAAGCCCTAATAAGGAGATGTGATAGCAAAATCAAACACTAGGCAGCCTGCTGATAAAAGTGTTGAACAAATATATATTTCTAACTCTCCAACAGTAGTAAAACAACCTCATTCTGAGTTATCAATGTCCCTGAAAAGCAGCTACTCTATGTTTTTATCAAACAGCTGCTGGGCTGTCTGAGCTTCTCTGGAGAAATTTAACCTTTGAGTTCTGCTGCTGTTTATTAAGTCTGCAGTAAGGATCATACTCAGACATCTGATGATATGAACACTCACAATCCGTAAACATGAACAAGGTTTAGGCTCAGATAAACTTCTTTCAAGGAAGTAAAATGTTGCTTCAGACTGCTAGTTTTCTGCAAAGATAAGACAGATTAGTCCGCTGACATGGCAGCAGCTGTGAAAAAAGTCATGACAAGGTTACATCCCTGCTGCGTTCACATCTCAGTTTCAGTTCAGTTCCGTTTTATTTATGTAGCAACACTTAAGGCACTTTATATTGTAAGGCAGATGTTACGAAGAGAACCTCAACGATTTGATGATCCCTTCAAATGAGCAGCTGTGGCAGAAGAAAAACTAAATTTTAATATGAAGAGACCTCCAGCAGAAACCAGGCTCAGGGAGGGACAGCTGTGATTGGTTGGGGGTCAAGGTGAAAGAGAAGAACAGCTTTATCAAAAAGTTTTCAACCTTTTCCATCACTGTGCAGGATGAAGCCTGCATTACTGGCGCGCACACAGATTCTGGCAGCAAAAAATACATTATTTCCTCTGTTTATGACGTTGCTTGAACACTACTCTGATGCCCCCATTGAACCAGGCATCAGTGTTGTTTAAACAAACCGTTACCGACAGTTTCACCTTAAAGAAAGCGTGCTGATTTTTACATGCGGGACAGATAACTGTCAGATGACTAAGACTGATTGGTTGCATTCCCTCAGGGGTTGGCCAACCACAAATGTTAAGCAATCTGAGCCTCACTCCAGAGTTTCTTAACTTTCAGAAAGTACTACACCATGAGCAGAGACCTTTTAAGTTCTCTGGAACCTAATTTAGACCCTGGAGTCTTTTTGAAGGATCCTAGCAGTATAGAAAAAAGTCAAATTTTCCATCCTTACTTTCTACTGTCACAACTGAACCAGGCGCCTCGTTTTCCAAGCACAGACTGCATAAAAGAAGGACGGTGCTGCCCAGTCTGAAAAGTGGAACCATTATGAAAGTGCCTTAAATCTGTGTTCTTACTAATGGCCAGAACTCCAAGTCCTAATGTTTAGAGGCCAGTGAGAAGGTGACCCTACTTCTCACTTCATTGATGTCCTCAGTAAGCACTTTCCTGATGAGGTTATGCTCTCAGTTGCAACTTTGAAGTTTTCCTCAACATACCATGATTTTGTAAATTGGTTTCCCTCTCATATAAATAAATAGTATGAAGGGAATGCTTTAGCTCGTGGCTACCGTATCATTGACCAGCCACGAGTCTACCACCCACCTTCCTGGACCTTCTGCCATGGTTCAGGGTTGGTGAATTGATCCCAGGCCTCGTATCCCTGGGAAAAACACTGTAATCCAGAGTTGGTTTTGATGGCAGGCAAGCACCTTGTAGATGAGTATGTGAATGTGTGAATGACAAGCAGATTGTAAGCCGTTTTCTAGACCTGCTAAGGTTGAAAGGCGCCAAATAAGTGCACATAAGCTTCTTCCGAATCTGGACTCTTCTGGCACCACAATGCCAAACCCAAGGCTTCGCAGACCGGCACTGACTATGATCTCTTCTTTTGTACAGTCTGTGTTTACTGGAGGCATTCAAAACATCAGACTTGGGTAAAACGCGTGATCTGATCGGGACCTGACTATTGATTGAGCATTAGCAGCTGAGGAGCAGCACAAACGCTTCCATTTTTCTCTTAACTCTGAAGTTTTAGTCTCCTCCTCGCCTTAAAACATAACCAAATGATCAAGGTTAATAATGAGCATGCTTGGATCCATTCGGAGACCTTTGGGTATTGGACATGTTGATATAAAAACTCACAGATGTAAAATTCCAACTCATTAAAAAGAACAAAGCAATCTGAATGCAAAAGTTAAAAAAGGCCAGGGGGACTAGGAAGAAGTTCATTTTTAAGTGTGCAGCTCTGAATTGTGACATGAAAATATAATAGGAAAAGTACAGCAGCAAAATAAGCAACAAAAACTTTAAAATCAGGACATAAAAGGAGACAAAATTATGTTAAAAAACAACAGTAATAAGAGAGGCTTGAATGAAAAGAAAAATATAGAACTGCATTTTTTTTTTTTGGGCAGGTTGTTGCCTTCACTGCGTTTCAGTAAGTTTAGCTGCTAACTTTTGCTCACCTATGTTTGCTTGTCTTTTTTTTTAGCCCTGGAGGTTGCCGCTTGTTTGAAGCCTCCGTACTCTTTGTTTAAAGGTACTTGAAGAAAATTACTGTTTAGTTAATTTTTGAATGTTTCCAAAGTCTTTTATACTTGGATGAAGAGATACCAACTGAAGTAAAGAACAGGTGGTATTTTTGAGTAATGTCACAAGATTGTGCAGCAATGTAGCCTTTTTTTTTCTGTAAGTACGCAAGTTATATATATATATAGAAACATATTTGCTTCACACAGGTGGCCTAGAAAAGGGCAAAGCTTCCTTAAAAAAAAGGAGCGGCTAAAAAGAATTTAATGTTAAAACGCATAAATAAGCTACTTCTTCATTCACAGCAGTTATCTCTGCCTGTTTTACCTTCCTGACACAACCCCAAAGGGATTTGTGTCTCTTCCTCGAATCACACCAAGGATCTTTTGCTTAGAAGATCAATGTTTAAACAAATATACTATGGTTGTGAAAGCATCTCACCTGTAAGACGCTGCCTACCTGGTGATGAAAGGTTTCATAAAATTTTTAAACGGTAACTCCAAAAAGAACAGTTAACCCTATTTTGGAATTCATCAGGTTATATTTAAAAATTCAATATAAATTTTACTAGACTAGAAGAAGTTAAACAGAAAAGCATCTTAGAGCACACTCACTGTCAAAACACTGCCCCCTGGTGGTGCAAGCCTGAGTTAAATTATGCAAAGGGTAACTACAAAAAGTACCTTTAAAATGGAATCGAGGTGTTAACCCATTAACAGGATGGTGTGCGTCGTTATTGGTTCTAAAAATAAATTTATTCATGAAAATATAAATAAAACAAGCTGAAGGGTACAGAAAACAAACTTATGTGAACTAAAAGAGTAATTAAAACCGTGAGAATTATAAAGTATCTTCCTTTTTTTAGATCATCCTGAAACATCCTGTCAGGAAGCCCAATTTCTCTCATAACCCTTTCTCTTTGGGAATCTGAATGTCTTCGTCCTGGACAAAATAAACGTGCCTCGCTCTGTAAAGTCCTCGCGCTGTGACGAAGCCTCTGCGTAGGTGGCGCCACCCAGTCTGCCCAGAGCAGCGAACCCGTTTCCTTCACGCTGCTGCAGAAATCAAACGTCCCGCTGTAATTGGACTCACTCCACAGGACTCGACCCGGCACAAACTACAGTAACCAGCCACCATATTGCATGTTCCAGAGTTTAGTGCCTATAATATTGTGCGTCTTGCCAGAAGCCACCATGTCAGCCAAGCCATGTTGTGTTTCTAGATTAGTAGTGATGTGTGTGGTGACTTCATAGTTGCTAATATTGAGGATGAATATTCTGCTTTTATTCTGGTTGGAATTCAGTGGAAACTCCAATACACTGTCGCTGTAGACAAACTAGTTTTTACCTGTTTTCTTATTTTTCTTTCTAACTAAAAGCGTTTGTTGTCCCCTGATCTGTGTCGTCTCTTTGACTGCCTGAGCTTCTCTTTTTCACACAAACACCTCAGAGGACGAGGAGCCAATGGCTGAAACATCCTCATCTTCACAGTGGCTCTTGCAGGAGTGTCGATTATCCTATCACTCCAAAGAGCACATACAGGACATATCACATGTTAAACCTGAGAAATCTGGTAACAGCTTATTTTGAATTTGATGCCTTCACCTTGTGTTGCAACAATCTTCTTACTCGATTTTGGGTTTTAGCTGCTCACCAGTGAAGGACTTCCTTTCTTGTACTGTTTGCTTCATAACGCTGCAAAGCACCCAGACTACTTCCACTACACTAGTAATAATGCTGCTCAATAAGCTATTTAAAAAACATTTATTTATGTATTTCAGTTTAAAGAAGTAAGTTTTTAAAAATGAATTAACCATGTATTTACAAAACGTGATTAAAAATCCCAATGAGGACAACCACAAAACAAAAAGCTGTGAAAGTAACAATAATTCAGAGTCCTGGGTTGGAGCAACCTGTAACTCAACGCTTCCTTCAGCCGGCTCTTTGGTTGTATTTCTGACCCCCCTGCTCTGAAACTTTTACATGTCATTCAGCATTAACGGCGCCTTCACAGCTGTGTAAAACAAACACTTGGACCGTTAGATTATAGAACATAAACCTAAACATTTAGTTTTATTGCTGCACAGCAGCAGCTAAAAGGAGCCACGTGTGGAGCAGTCTATGTTTGTAGAGAAGACGAGCTTCTGATGTTTGAGACGTCGCAGTCTTCACCTGGAAGGGAAGAGTGACCGAGCAGAGCTGCGAGCCCGGATTCAGACCACCTGCTGACATCACGCCTCGTTAGATTCGGCTGTTTGCACAGTCTGTGATGTCACACTGTGCAACCTGAGAGACAAAGTTCATGGAGCAAAAGCCCTGGCTTTTTCAGCCTAAAGAGCAAGATCTCCTCTGTCATCTGACCTTTGACCTGTGTCGATTGAGGGCCGTCTAAATCAAAAACAGCTTCTCTGTCATACATAGGAGTGACCTGAGATAAAGACAGCCGAGATTCGAGTTTATTAAAAGTTTTTAGTTACTTTAAAGAAATATAAAATATGCTTATAAAACTACGAGGGTTCGAATAAAACTACTTATAAACTCCCGAAGCATTTAATTAATACTTATACAGAAAATTAACCTTTAAATATCTGAGGTGTGATTTCAGTTTAACTACTGTAGATGTTTTCATTTCGAGGTTAGAGCGACTGGTTTAACTCTCATTCTTTCTGTCTTGTTTGTTTTTAAATGTCTCCAGTTCAGTCAGCAAACAGTAAAATAGTGCATAAGTGAGCATCAACCACATCATTTTCTGACTACTTTGAGTAAGCTTGCCTGGGCATGTGCAGCGATTTTGCAATCTTGGACTTTCCCTAATTTCTGTGATGTTCTGGCTTTTTGTCATCTGGGGACTTCCTCCGTCACCGGAGTCATGCTTGAGTCATGATTGCCCTCGTCTGTCCTCCTCATACTGAGTGATGCTCTCTGAGGATTGAGCTCTAATAGCTCACAGCTCCCCAATAAACATGTAATTTCATGTCCAGTTACTTATGACTCTCAGGTTTCTCTCCACAAGTTCCTTCTTATTATTGCGATGCTGGACGTCGACATTACTCGTGACCAAAATTTAAAAGAACGAGATTAGTGTATTTACAAGTAACCTTCAGACTGCTCTAAACACAGTTTTTGTTTCCTATTCTTGTATACATGATAAAGAGATCGGAGAAGCCCCACCCACCTGCTGTGCAGACCTTCTGTTTGTGAGTGGCAGCCAAACAGAGTAAAGTTATCTTAAAGGGAGAGGAGACCAATTTACTGCATCACAGCCCAGAAAATAAACATAAATAAGGACCTTTTTAAAACTTTGGATCATGAAAAGCTGCTCCAGTAGAGTCCAAGAGCAAAAACATGAGTTTGAACACAAACTGTAAGCAGAAGTGTAGCCAGAATGGGGTCGGTGGCACAGTGGTCATGTCCCAATGGGACTCTTTTGGGCAGAACCTGGACGGCACCCATGGCTCCAGGCTGAGGTCTTGGACTTTTTCTTAATAAGTTTGCTTAAATCACCATCAGACTGACCTTGAGAGACCTTACCAAGCAAGCGCTGCCACGACAGCACAGCTCCTCATGCGCCATACCATTTATTTTTATTTTGTAGATATTGGAGATAATAAAATATAATAATAATCTCTATCTATGGTGCAGTAATATTATACATAAAGCTACAGAGCAGTGTGAATAATCAAATCATTTCATTTTACTCAAAGTAGTCACAAATCAGAACTTCTCCTGGTTGACTCCAAATTATCGCTATCCAACTGTTTTTCTGTTACTATCAATAACTCGTCAGTTTCAATCTGTTTGGCGTCATTCTTGACAGTACATTATCCTTTGACTCGCACATCAATGATGTCACTCGCTCAGCATATTTGCAACTCTGTTACATCAATCGCCTCCGCTCCTTCCTCACTCAGCATGCCGCTGTCATTCTCGTCCATGTAACTCACTCTTATTTGGCCTGCCACAAAAATCCATCAATAAGCTTCAACGTGTCCATAACTCTGCTGCCCGTATTATTACTAGGACTCCCTCTACCACCGCATCACCCCTACCCCCTATGGCTCCCAGTTAAACTTTACATTAATTTTAAAATACTTCTTTATACATTTAAGGCCATTCATTCTCTCTCCCCACCATACCTTTCTGATTTGGTACAGATCTCCATCCCATCCCGGTGCCTCAGATCCTCCTCGTCTTGTCTTACTACCATGGGGGGCAGGGCTTTTAGTCGCTCTGCCCCCTGACCTCGGAAACATCCCTTCATTCCCTCTTTTTAAGTCCACCCTCAAAACCCACCTGTTCAAGATGCCTACTCTATATAACTTCTCCATGCTCTTAAACTTTATTTTATTATTGTGTTTATTTCCTGTTTTTATGCCTGTCTTATTTGCTCTGTGCAGTGTCCTTGGGTGTTTTGAAAGGTAACTTTAAATAAAATGTATTATTATTATTATTTCAGCTACAACATTAAAGTAATATAGACATCAATTAATCAGTAATTGGGGGGTCCTCAGTAACCCTAACCGGGCAGGGCGAAGTGGTCCAGCTTTTTCTTCATAGAGGGTCTTTTGAACCACACACAGAACCAGTTTACCTTGGAAGACGCCAAACAGAGAAACGATTGCAAACTTGTCCACCATGATAAAGTTTTGCTTCCCAGATGGGAATTTTTTATCAAATATTCTGAATTCCTGTGGAGGGAGCGGCGTTTACCTATTCTCGGTCCCCAACCCGTCCCACGGCATACGCCCCTGCCTTAAGGACAATATTTCTGCTTCACGCAGTTGGATGTCCACACCACCAGGCCAGAGGGGTGATAACAAAAGTCCAATGCTTTCAGGTTGAGGGCTAAAATCGAACCCATGATGACGTGATGGTGTTGTGGGTGAGTTTCAGAGTACAAGAGTCTCATTGTTAAAGTTTAAATAAGTTGTGTACCAACAACACAAACTCTCACAAAGTGTACTCAAAATAAATAAAGAGCTTCGTCTGTTTGGATCAAAGGTAAACTGATCAGAAAACTCACATCTCGTGACCTCCCGTTAACCTCCATGCGGGTAAAAACCCCGCTCTCTTATTGGCTGATGGTCGACCTGCAGACAGGTGAGGATGGCAGCTCGTGCTGACATGCTGCTGCTGCTGCTGAGTGGTTCGGTTCTGCTCGGACTCTCCGCCGGTCCCGGACACTCCTCTTCCTCCTCGGCTCCGGATTCTGAGCGCGGCAGGATGGAGCTGCGGCGCGTGCGCACCCTCGCGGCTCAGTCCCGGTACGGAGAGTGTTGGGCGCGAGCTCTGGAGCACCTGGACGCGAGCTGCAGGGACTTGACGTCGGAGAGCCAGAGCTTGATCGCGCTGCGGTTCACCCACTGTCACCTGAGCAGGTAACAACTGGAAAAACAGGTGTTTCCTCGCGCTGCTGTCCTGCACTGCGAGCCTTTATTAAATAATCCCGATCAAAATCATATTTTTGATTAGATTGCATTTAAAAGAAGCAGCTGGTGTTTGTAGCACTCTGCTATTTTCTGGGTTTGTATCTCCTATTCGCATTCGTTTACTTCCATCATGTGGCCGATTCAAGAGCTGCAGTACAGCTGGAAGAAAAAAAAAACGAGGGAAATCCCAGAACCGCTTTTAAATATTCTAAATCTGTAAATATCCTAAATTGTTATTTCTTCCCAACAGGCTAAATTTCTCTGTAAAGGGGGAGTACATATGTACTTTGATATGTTTGGATCTTTAGTTTGGGGTTCCTGGGTTCACTCGCTACTTCAAATTATTTTAAGGTGGACGCCTAAACCTAAACCTCACCTCAGTGACTAACCCAACCACCACTATCATTTAAAGCTGAGGCATCAGTTTGCTCAAACCGTGGGTGTGTTACCAATGACCTGGCAGATGTTAAGAGGTAAACTTTTTCCTTTTATAAAGAAATCAGAGACGTCTGTGCCCCAAAGGCCACAACCACTTCAAAAAGTATACCCCCTTGTCTTTATTTTGATCTTCTATAACATCAGACATCAAAGTGCTTCACAGGTGATGAGTCTTTCATGAATGATCAGTTTGGACTCAAAGTTTCAGTTTGTCAGATGGCATCATCTCCTTTCCTCTGATAAAAGATAGTCCATTGTATCCTCTGCTAAAGGAAGTAATGTAGGAGGCATCGAGTCACCTTTCCTTACAGGTTTAAACCAGCTGTCATCATGGCTGCCTCGCAGATACTTCAGTTTAACCATAACCTGTGTCTGTCCATCTGTCAGCTCAGGCAGGGATTTCCCAGCATGCCCTGAGGGGTCAGAGGTCAGCAGATGTACAGCTGGCATGGACACAGTGGCGTTTAACAGCTACACAGAGTTCTTCACACACACTCACTCCATGTGCCACTTCCTGCAGTCTGAGGCC